CTGCTTAATGTGATAATTTGCTGGGAAAAAAAAAAAAAAAAAAAAAAAGAAACTTGCTCAATGTCGCACTGTGATGGCCCACCTGATATTTGACTAGCAGATAATTGGCATGCTGTGTTGTGAGGATTATGAGGGTATAGCGCATGCAAGTCTTTGTTTTCATATGTATGATGACATCAACATTGTGTTCATGTATGACACCCTGACATGGTACGTCCTGTTTGTAGACCCACTGTCGATACAATTGTGGTCGGTGTGCCTCTGTGTTCCTAGCATGTGGGAGCCATGTAGCCTGTGACATGTCTACAGCGCACTGTTCATGCAGGAACTGTAACTGCGAAGAATTGGATGTGGGGCTTTGATAGTCCACACCTGAGCTGGTCCTGTCCGGTCTGCAGGGGTGGCCACTTACCGTAACCAACACCTGCTCCTCAACTCATGTGCATTGTCCAGCCCAAACACTGACTGGCCGCTTGTGCCATCCCATTGTAGTCTGCTCTGGTGAAGAGAACTGGGAACCTTGTGAAGTTCGTCTTTCCCCTGTTCTATTTCTTCCTCCCTCGACTTCCGTCCTCTTCTCGTTCTCCATCCCCTCCCCTTCCCCTTCTCCTTCCTCCTCCCCTTGTGTTGCACTACTGAATGCACACGAATGAGCATTATTAAGAGACCGGACAAAATATGAGGTGCAGGTGGCTCAGAACTAAACAGGAGTGTACACCCTCCCCCTTTTCTCTGCCTCCTTGTCATATGTGCAAGTTGGCCGTTTTGTCATACTGGGATGTGGGCAGCTGGCCACTCAGCCACATCAAATTGGCGACCCTTGTATGTGAGAGGCATGGTAGAGGGGGAGCCACAAGAAGAAATAAAAGAGAAACCACGAAGAATGCAAGAACACACACACAGGGGAGAGAGAGAGAGAGAGAGAGAGAGAGAGAGAGAGAGAGAGAGAGAGAGAGAGAGAGAGAGAGAGAGAGAGAGAGGGGTACTTTCCTGATTTTTCCCTTCCTGTTTTACATTTATTGTCTGTTGGTCTCGTTTCCTGGATTTTATTTATTATTTGCTTTTTACCAGTAGATTCCTCATTTCCTGGCCCAGTGTCCAAGATTGTTCAGAACTGGTCTGGAGGGGCGTGCAAGTTGCGGCTGGACTTCTTTGGAATCAGCCTGTACACATAGCTATGGATTTCCGCCAGGCCACTATTTGAACATTTATTCAATCTTTAACAATACATATTTGTGCCTATTCCCTGGATGAACTCGTTTTCTTTCCTCTATTTCATCTAACGCCCGTTATTTCCCGCCACCGTCTCTCAAACGTCTTTTCTCGCTCTCTTTGTGATGCACTTCCTTCTGACAAAGGCAGAGCTGCGCTCAGACCTCAAAATATCAGGATGAACCCCTTCGTTTCCTTTCTTGATGAAGTTAAGAGTCACGGTTCCCACTAATCAGCACAGTTTAAGGAGTGCTAGATCAAAGCAATAGGATTTGGCAGTCGGTGGAACGGGAAAGCCTCACGACTGGATTCTGCGCTGAATACATTTGCAAGTCTCAGTTACTTTATGATCATAAAATATTTGTGTGACACTCAGTTACTACCGTCGGCATCGCTATCTTCCTTCAGGTCATTTTGAGCTTGACGTTGGTTGTGATCGATTGTGCAGGGCACGCTGCAAGGGTTTGACCAAGCGACGAATTTGATCCTGGACCAAAGCCATGAAAGAGTGTATTCAACCAAGGTATGCAATTTAGGTGCTTCTGTAACTTTGTAATTCTGTGTTGTCTTGGCAAGCACAAACAATTCTTCCTGCGCAGCTCGCAAATGAGAGAGGCAATTGGTGTGCAAACTTGGAAAGGCAAATCAATCAACTCGGTCATGAACGCCCTGTCCTATTATCCGCTGGTAGGCGACTGGGATATGGGAGTGTGTAGTGGAAGACCATAAATCGCCAATGCTGCCTGTGTAGGATGTGTGTGGGCAGTGTTTCTGTGTAGGATGAGTGTGGTTGGGTACACTGTGTCGCAGGATCTCCGTGCTGGGGTGGGGTGAAGTGCCCATCTTGGGGCTTCACTTTCACCCCAGCCCACTTAGCCTTATGGTTAGGTGTTTGCCTGCCAAGCTGAGAGTTGTGTGTTCGAGTCCTATATTCGACATTGCTACATGCTGCGCCTGCAACATGCTGCGCCTACAAACAAGGGCCATTTTTAGGCCGCGTGTCGTTTCAGCCTGAAAGCCTGAAAACAAGGGCCTACAGGCCCTGTGTCGTTTCAGCCTAAAACAGGGCCCTCCAGGCCCTGAGTCTTTTCAG